GCAACCTCAAACTCCTGGGCTCAAGTGATCCTCCTGCCTCAGCCTTCTGAGTAGTTGGGACTACAGGCGTGTGCCACAATGCCCAGCTAATTTTTTTATTTTTTTGTGGAGATAGGGTCTCACTCTTGCTCAGGTTGGTCTTGAACTCCTGACCTCAAGCAGTCCTCCCACCTCGGCCTCCCAGAGTGCTAGGATTACAGGTGTGAGCCACTGTGCCTGACCATCACTTTTTAGATTTATCAGTTTTGCTGTGTGTTTCAATATTTCCCTATTATTGCTGAGCAATACTTCACTATATGAATATGCTAGATGTATGTATTGCTAATGTTCTTGGATTCTGTGGCTTGCCTATTCATTTTTTAGTAGTCTTTTGATGACAAAGTTCTTAAGTGTAATAAAGGTCAGAATCGGTCTTTTCTTTAATGGTAGTTTTTTGTGTGTCATGTTTGAAAGATACTTTCTCACTCCAAGTTCATGAAAATATTCTCCTGTACATACTTGATTATTTTAGCTAGATCCACACAAAATTAGCTTTTGTGTTCGATATAAGGTGAGTATCAAGGTTCACATTTCCATATGCACGTCCAGTTCCTCTAGCACCATTTGTTGAAAAGATCATCCTCCGTCCCGTGAATTGCAGCAGTCTCTCTCTTATCAATCAAGTGACCGTATGTAAGTGAGACAAAATCTAGACTGTATTCTCTTCCACTTATTTTATCTTTTTGCTAGTACTTCACTGTCATAAAACTGTTGCTTTATAGTAAGTTATGAAATGTGATAATGTAGGCCTCCAAGTTCTGCTTCTGCCAGAATTTATTGACTGTTTTAGATTCTTTGCATTTTCATAGAAATTTTTATCAGTTTCCACAGAAAATCCTCCTGGGAAGTTTTTCAGGATAGAGGTGAAGTCTTTGACATCTTTCATTAGATTTCTTTCTCCATATTTGATCTATTTTGATACTAGTGCAAATGATAATGTTTTTTAAATGTCATTTTACAGTTGTTTATTGTTGGATTATTAAAATGAAGTGGATTTTTTAGTATTGATCTTGTATCTAGGCATTTTTTAAAATTCATTTATTCTAATAGCTTATTTGTAGATTCTTTTGGATTTTAAATGTACACAATGATGTGTTTTGCAATAAAGACAATTTACTTCTTTGCAATCTTTGTATCTTTAATTTCTTTTTAGCCTTATTGCTAGAACTTCCAGTAAAATGAATACAAGTGGTGATAATAGAAATCCTTGTCTTATAATTCACCTGAAGGGTAAAGTACTCAGTATTTCACCATTGAGTCTTATTTTAACGATAGATTTTTTTGTATATGGCTTTTATTAAAATAAAGAAGTTCCCTTTCTGTTTTTAATTTCCTAAGGTTTTTTTTTTAATCATACCGTGGATATTAAATTTTTTCAAATGCTTTTCTTTCATCTAGTAAGATAATCATATAATTTTATTCCTTTATTCTTTTAGAGGGGTGAATTATATTGATGGATTTATCAATATTTAACCAACCTTGCATTCCTGGGATAATTCCCACCTGCTCACATAGTGTTATCTGTCATGCCTTTAATATATCTCTGGATTCAATCTATTAATATTTCAATTAGTGTTTTATATCTACATTTATGGAGAGATATTGGCCTTCACTTTTCCAGTCCTGTAGTGCTTGTCAGATTTTGGCAGCAATGTTATGTTTTCATAAAATGAGTTGAGAAACAGTTATTCATTTTCTGTTCTCTGAAAGAGTTTAAGAATGCTGTTGTGTGTTCCTTAAATGTTTGGAAAAATATACCTGTGAAACGGTTTCTCTGGAGTCTAGAAAGAGTCTCTAGAAGACTCTTGGAGTTTTTTTGTGGCTGGTTTTTACTTATGAGTTCAATTTCTTTAGTAGGATATAGAAAATCCAAATAATCTTAATTCTAGTGTCCTTTTTTGGTAACAGCTTTATGGAGATATAATTCACATACCATACATTTCACACATTTAAAGTGTACAGGTCAGTGGTTTTTGGTATATCCACAGAGTTGTACGATCTTTGCCACAGTTTTAGAACATTTTCATCACTTCAGAAAGAAATTCCATACCATTACCTATCACCCCCCTATCCTGACATACCTGAGCCCAACCCTAAACAACTGCTAATCTACATTCTACCTCTATAGATTTGCCTGTTCTCAACATTTCTAATAAATTGTCTAATATGTAGTCTTTGTAACTTTCTTTCACATAGCGTACTGTTTTCAAGATTCATCCATGTTGTAGTATGTATTGGTACATCATTTCTTTTTTTTTTTTTTTTTTTTTTGAGACAGAGTCTCGCTTTGTTGCCCTGGCTAGAGTGAGTGCCGTGGCATCAGCCTAGCTCACAGCAACCTCAAACTCCTGGGCTCAAGCAATCCTTCTGCCTC